TGGCAAAAAAATGTATTGAAATCGCGAAAGCCTGATTCCTTTTTTACAGCTCTCGACGTGGCAACTGCATGGCGGACGAACTAGCAAGGGACGGAACCTTTCTACCCACGAAGAAGTATACACACGATGCTGGTTTACCACCGTCCACGCCAAAGTGCATGCTTAGACTGGCTATTACCAGAGAAGCTGACTCATGATGGCTCAACGAGTTCACGTGTAACGTGACCAAACAGCTATGGCCGAAGCTGGATGCGAAAATATCCGAACGTCTTATCCTTCTAGACCGGTTCTCCATTAGCATAACGACGCGCATAATAACTGGATACCGTTTAATGCGGCTTCACGGGAAAATATTTTGATATCATTCTAATGTTTTCTGCCGCAGCTGTTGGGATGAAGAAGAGGAGGGGACCATAGCCCCCGCGGGTTAGGAATTCAAGAATTTAACCGCGGTAAGGCATGTCTGTCGTAAGAGACGGATCGAACCGGTTTTTTATCCAGCAAAGCACTGTCACACCCGCAATATTGCCCAAAAAGTACTTTAGGGAATATTTTTGCGATTACAACAACGACAACAACAACAAGAGGAGACCATCAAGCTACTACACTACCTCTGCCACTGTCCAGCTTTGGCATCAGCGCTATACATATTTCTTGGGAAGCATTTATTCGATATTGGAAATCCCGTTGCTTTTATATGGCAAACGAAATGGTTCCATCATCTGAGAAGATGAAAGCAGCAGCCTCAGCGGTATCACAATGAGCCTCTTCGCCGAAGTGTGCTGGCAGCAGCAGCTGCATCAACTCAACTCAACTCAACTCAGAAACAGTGCTTCGAAGAACTTTATTCAACTTTTGGTAATAGAGCAACATTGTTTGACGACGGCGTGGTGAACTAAGTTGAAGTTGTAGCTCACTCCAAGATGAATGAGGTGAACGACGTCCAAAGTAAGTTGTTGTTCTGGAAACTATAAGCAATAGAAAGTCAAAAATATCATTTGACTGAGCTGACAAATCATCAATCATCTACCGTACAGTCCTGACTTGGCACTAAAAGACTTCTTCTAATTCTCGTACGCAAAAACAAACTGAAAAAAAAACAGCGTTCAGAACTCATGTCTCGGAGATACCACAAATTATATACTATAAGCAGAGTGGCAAAAGCACTTTGACAATTGGCTAAAATGCATGCAAAAGTTTATAGATTTTAATGGAGCATAACTTGAAAAGCAATAAAATAATAAAAAAAATTATCCATGATTAATCTTTGGTTTTTGTTCTCAAATCCCGAATTATAAAAACCAACCCTTGTAATGTTTATTTGATTCGATTACGATAATTGATAAATTCTTTTAAATACTTGATGACAGAAATTTTTATTTATTTTTTTTATTACATAATATATTTGTAATTCTCATTATTTACGATAAAAGCATGGTAAGCTCTTAATTTAATTTTTTTTGTTTTTAAATAAATTAAAGTGGTAAAGGATGCTCTGAAATGCAAATTAAAATGTATGTATGTGATTACTTCTGTATAATATAGGTTGATCCAAGATTACCGCATGATTTGAATAAAATATAAACCGGATTTTTAGCCTACAAAATGTGATTTATTTTGTTAAATCATAAAATACAAATTTTAAAAAATTTTGTGTTGATTTTAGTATGCCCCTCAATATATAAATTTCTTTATTTGAAATTACTTTGTTGAATAATAATTATTATTATTTTTGTTAATGTATCTGTAAAGTAATATTTACTTATTCTTCGCACTATCTTTTTTGTACTAAAAAAGATATGGAAATCTTATTGTACTAATGCTTTGTTATTATTATTAAATAAAAATAAATAAACAATACATATTGTTCTGATAATTATAGAAGTTTCGAAGCTACCATCGAAACATTTTTAAAACAATTAATTGCCGCTAGAACTAGTTAAGAACTAGTGTTAAAATAATATTAAAATTGGTAATTACTCGAAAGGGTAACAAAAACCAAAAATTTTTTTTTTCCAGTAGAGCGAATTAAACTAGTTGTAATGGGAACCAGTTTTTATTAAAACTAATGATTACAGGATATTTTAAGTTAAAGAACAGTTTAAATTCTTTGGTATATACATTTATTATATAAGTTTGTCAAATATCTCCTTTCCGCTTTTTTTGCTTTTCATTCAATGCTTTATAAAAAGTGTTACAGTGATCGGATTTAGTTAAAATATTCGCTGTTTTGTTCGCTGTTCTGTTTCCATCAAGACGGCAACTTCATAATACCTTCCTCGTAGAAGCCCCCCTCCTTGTTTGCGAAGAATTCGGACAGCCACTTTTCACAAGCCTCTTTTGAGTTCAACCTCACACCACCAAGGGCATTCGCCATGGACAGGAACAGGTGGTAATCACTTGGCGCTACGTCCGGGTAATCTGGTGGATGCGATAAAACCTCCCATCCGAGCTCCCGTAGCTTCTGAAGAGTCATCAACGAAGTGTGTGGTCTGGCGTTGTCCTGGTGGAACACTACACCCTTCCTGTTGGCCAATTCTGGACGCTTCTTGTCGATCGCCTGCTTCAAGCGGTCCAGTCGTCATTTTCACCGGCTCTGAATCGTCGAAACCATTCCTCCGCGGTTCAAAGTGATAGAGTACCATCCCCCAAAACACCATTAATCTCACGGAACGTTTCTCTAGCGGATTTACCATTAACGAAGGAAAACTTTAAAATAGCGCGAATTTCGGCGTTAGTGAACTCCATGCTTACACGTCTATAACTGTTGAACCGAATATCTAAACTAATCATGCATAGCGTTGTTTTGTAGGTTATGTCAAGACCTTTCAAATTATGTATAGTGTTGCCAGGTACGAGCTCTGTGGCGCTTTGTACATAGCCTCGAAATTCATAAAACAAAAAAGCGGAAGGGAGATATTTGACAACCTGATATAATAAATACAAAATTAGTATCATTTTCTTTTCTTACAAATATATATAGGATGAGATTGGAAGAACCTATCGATATGGCTTGTTGCGTAAGTGCCAACAATTAACTCACCTACCAAGTCTTAAAAAAAAATTAACGAAAAATTCGTATTAGATCACTTGAAAAAAATAAACGCTAACGGCGGATCTCATATATCTTTTATTATCATAAAAAAATTGGTAGAAGGCCATAGATGATACTGATAAATATCTAAATAATTAACTTTTAGTAAATAAAAATTTTGAACAAAAATGTATAAAAACCCAGGATACTCTTTGACTAATTAATATGTAAATAATTGGCGCAGAGGTGATTTTCCGCTGAGCTCCTCTTCCAACTTATGGTTTTGTGTCTTGATGTTTTTCCAACAAATGGAGGAACCTACAGTTTATACTAAGCCGCCTGCGAACAGCTGGTGGCTTTTTACGAGGAGCCTTTATTTCATTCGGACACTCGAAAGAGTGGACATTCCCTACCGAGGGGCGACCGCAATTAGAAAATAAAGCTTATTTTTTTATATAAATTAATTTTCTTTAACTTTTGGATGTTGGTCGCACGAGGATTTGAACCGAATGGCAGTACGCAACGCTTGACACTCGGCTAACGCGGTCGCCGATTCATTTATTACAATTCGTCTAAGAGAAAATAAAAAAAATATGTCACATTGCAGCTCCTTTTTTTAATAAAAAATTTGAATATTTCCAACATGCGTTTATACGAATGTCTGCGTTACTATTGCTACGTTTCTTCTGTTTTGATGAGCCTGCTTAAACAAGTACCGTTACATGACGAATTGCTATCGCCAATGGTTGGTGTACAATGTGGCCTTACAGTAATTGACATATCAAAATCTCTTTTTTTTTAGAAATAATGCGTTTTAAATATGCTTTTTCCAAAAATAGCTATGTGCGTTTATGCGAATGTTTACTACTGTATATGCATAATGAAAATATTCGTAAATATGTAAATTCATGTACAATCAAAGTAGAGATTGAAATCGTTACACAAGAAAACAAAGCAAAACTGCACAATCATCCGAACCCTTGGGCTATCACCTTGGCCTCCGCAACAAGTCAAACTCGCCTGAAGAGAAGTGACTTACTATCCCCTTGCTAAGAGCAGCAGCCCATTCATAGCCAATGGGATATTATATTTTAATTTGATTTTTAAGCTTCAACAACTTTTTGTGAAGTTTGCGATATTAAAGCAGATTCAGTAAATAGAGGTTGAAAGAAAAGTGGATAACCAAACGAGGTGATGAGTGTATTATAGGATTGGATGGGAATTATATTCTATGCACTGCTACAACCCATCAAAATGGCTATGCGTATTCTAGAGTCAACAATCAACTCGCCTACCAAGTTCTTCAAAAAAAAAAAAAAGAAAAAGACAATTGCATAGTTGATCACGGCGGCTCTCATATATCTTTGATTATCACGAAAAAATTGGCAGAAAATCATAGATGCCACTGATCAATTTCTAAATAACTAAAATAAACTTTCAGTAAAGAAAAAAATTTTGTGCAAAAATATTTAAAAAAAAAAAAAAGGCCGAGGAGACTTTTTGACTAATCAATATTTTACTTTTCCATTTACCCACAAGAGCTAAACTCAATAATCAATATTGAATATTTAAAAGATAACTATGTTACATGTGGTGAGCGCTTTCACTACTTTTGCAACACACATGCATATATGTGTTTAACAAAAAACGTAAAATTTGTATAATGTGTATGTATGAGCATACGTAAATATGTATATATATATATATCTTTAATAATTTTTTATTTTATTTTTATTTTTTTTTTAACATTTATTTCAATCATTTAAATAGTTTATTTATTTTTTATTTTGCAATTATCTGCAGTGCATAAACTTGCTCCGTGCATTTGGTAAATAATTTTTGACGACATTTTTGCGTATTTGGAATTTTCTGTTTGCCTGCCGCCGTTGTAAGTGCTATTTACACGCACTCGCAGTCGCACATTACATAGCAATATATGAAAACACTCTCACTTATCTTAACTCACCTTCATTTTATTGATGTGCTGGTTGTTGTTGTTGCTGTTGTTGGTGGTGTTTTGTAGTTGCAAAAAGTGGTCTTCTTCACCAGCAGCCGCTTTTGTATATTTCAACCAAAGTTGGTTGAGTCGAAGTTGATCAGCAGATATACGAGTTTTTTTTTAACGGTTATGTGATGCGTGCGTGCCAAAATAACGCAAGAAAATATTTAAATTAAAGATCGCAACCAAATGGCTGTATGGTATTTTGTCTACACACCGACTGTGTTGACGACGACGATGACGACGACGACGACGTGTGTTGCGTTCCGTAACAAAATCACTTTTACTTGCGATTGCTGCTGCCAATGGATTGAATGTCGACCGAAACCGACGCACAAAATGTTTTTGTATTGCTACGATTTAGTTAACGCTGTTGTTGTTGTGAATTAATGCTTTGTTGTATTAATTTTTATTGTTTTGTTAGCTGCTGTTGTTGCTCTGTTGTCATTCACTGGAAGTGCGTTTGTTTTAATATTCGTTTTTCGTTTTTCGTTTCTTCCGCTCGTTTCACTCAACTTTCTTTCCACACAACAACCAAAAAAAATAAAAGAAAAAGACAATGTGTATATATTGTTGCTGTTTTTTTCTTTTTTTGTGTATTTTGTTTTTTTGCTATTTTAACACTTTGCAATGGCAACACTTTTTACAAATCGACTTATTTTGTTTAATCCAACGTTTTTTCACTGATTTTTATCGCACTCTTTTCGCTGCTTTCTAGAAAATGCAAACTTCGCGCACTGCAAACCGCCTGCGTATATATATATGTTATCGTATCACTGCTGCTGCTGTTGCTTACTATTGCTGTCTGCAAGTCGTTGTTGCCGCTTCAACGTTTTCTACCCATCTGTCGTTGTCTTTTGTCGTGTTTCGGACTTTTAAAGTAAATGTTGGTGCGCTAACTCGCCGGTAATGGTTACCCTCAAATTGCGCTCTTCATTTTCGGTGATTGAAGATTTAAAGTGCTGCAGCGTTTGTATCGAGCTCATTTAATACTCTTGTTGCCTGTTTGTTTTCATAGTTGCTGAGTTAGCGTATGGCTTAGAGTCTCCCTCTCTCTCTCTCTCTTTCCGCTGAGATCACTCACTCTGCAGTAGATTTTGCTCTTAATTTTTAATTTTTATTGTACTAATTTTTTTTAAATATTTTTCCCCAAGTAAATTAATTGTGTTTCGTTGGATTTTCGTAAATATTGACCTGACTTTATTTCCTTGACGCGCCACCACAATTGCACTCGCGTTGATTGTGCGTTGTTGAGAGGCGAATTCGATATCAGAATGTTGCAATAGTTTAATGGTTTCAACTGTGATTTTATTATTATTAGTTTTATGCCTTTTAATTGCAATTGTTGTATGCAATGCATAAGATTTAATGCAGCGCAATGGGGTTCCATGAAGCGCAATGAAAAATGCAACGTACAGAAGACTTAAGCGACGAACTTGCTCGTTTGTACTTGCTGCATGCCTGGCGAATTGTGGTGTCTTTTGGTGTATAACAGCGTAGCTAACATTTTACAAATTTGTTTTTTTATCTGGTCAGTGTAGGTGTTTGGTTGGTAATTTTTAAAAATGACAATGCATTTTTTCGTTTATGTGTAGGAGTGCACTGGGAAGGCTGCAGATGTTTTTGAAAGTAAGGAAGTGTTTTGGGCGCGTACAGAAATCAATATTGTTTAACTTTATATATTTAGGTATTATATATAACTTTTATACGTGAATTTCTTTAGTTGATTTTTAAAAAGTAACCTCTTCTTCATATGCCTTACTTAGAGTATTTAAACTATTTTATCAGATACCATTTCCAAATACTACATTTAGTTCTATTTTTGTTTAAATAAATTTTTGTATAAGAAAGATAAATTCACTAAATAGCCCTATGAAATATCAGTTAGTAAGTGCGGAATCGCTAGAAATATGCTACTACTTTTCAGAGAATCCTTTCAAATGTGGATGAAGGCATCAATTAGCTGAATTTATAAAGTGGAGAGGTATTAGTCCAAATAATATGGCGCTGCTTTTACAGTTTTTACTTTTTATTCCATAATTTATAGTGGTGAAATCGTAAGATTCAAGTTCTTAGTAAAACGTGAACATTTTCCACTATTTTCGTTGTTATTATCTTAAATTTGGTTGCACCATGGATAAAAAAACTAAATGCAACAAAAATGTAAGGAATCAAGAGGCTTATTGATTTAAACAAAACACACGGGAAAGTTGTGAGATCCGTTGGTGTTTCTGTGGACCCTTAAGGCAACAAAACAGCACTGACGAAAGCCCGTTTTTAACGCCCCACTAGAAGGATACATTTCTAGGCAGAAAAAGTTTGGTGTGCATGAAGAAGCGGGCTACGTCAGTGTTCTCCTCCATAGTAATGGAATAAATGTGGCAAAGTATGCTATCAGGAGGAAATTTGGAAAAAACGGATTGCACGAACGTATCAAGGTATTGGATGAGTGCAGAAGTTCGTGCCCGATTCCGCTGAATGCCGTTCGAATCGTTTGAGAGTGGCGCTCGTGAAAGAAATATATACATATTATATATCGTTGGAAAGGTAACTTCATTTTGTTTTGAGTTGCTTAGTGAAAAGACGCATGGAAGATGGACAACGAAAAAGATCATATGCGTCATATTATGTTATACGAATTCCGCAAAGGAAAAACAGTAGGCGCTGCAACTAAAGATATTCGTGAAGTTTATTTGGACCGTGCTCCAGCACTCCGCACAGTAAAGAAATAGTTCGCAAAATTTCGTTCTGGAGATTTTAATATAATCCAATAGTAAAACCACTCTTGACCAAACATCGCCGTAGATTGTGGCTCCAATTTGAAAAAAAAAACCTAAACGAAAAATGACTGAATGCGATTCTTATAGTGGGACGAAAAAAAACTTAATCGTTCCCTTCTAGTCAGGCTCTACAGCCATCAACAGCGTCAAACCCTTCAGCGTTTCAAATGCTGCTCAAAACAGTGAAAACTAGAGGAACAATTGACAGACTAAATTCTTGACGGAAAAAGACACTGTTAACCCTACTTTATGTCGGCACGTTTAATTGCTGCTTGGCTGTCTTCAAAAAATCTGATACATTCCCCATTGCCGATTGCCCATTTTGCGCTTTCATTAACGTCAGCAATCCCAGCTTTGAAGTCTCAATTGAAGTAATTAATTTGAACTTACCTTCACAGAGAAACCCTACTTCTGCGCTTGGGTCGCATTAGGACCCATTAAGATAGATAAGGTTATCATCAGTACCACCGATAGTGGTGGCCTCTCCGCACTGTTCTTTAACAGTGGGTGGCCAAGTTATTAGGGACAGTGCTCATATTTGTGTATTTTTTAATTTACTATGCTAGTGTGAGTAAATGATGTTACTCTTAACAGATTATTGTAGTGATGTAGTTTCTGGTATCGTTATTATTGTTTTTGTGAAGTGGCAACATTTGTCTATTGTGTAACAATTCTTCTCGTTCAGTGATTAACCGTTAAAAAGCACGAATTGAAATGTGGTGGTTACATTGTCTGAGTATAATTTTTTCATTACTTTTAAGACAATTTCGTGCTAGAAATAATCAAAAGGTATTCTCCATATAAAAATTCTTTTGGTATGTTTTGTTTTTGAATTTACATTTTTTCAATGGTTCGCCGCGATAACCCCGAATTTTCAACTTTTTAGGATGAGTAGGGCTCTGGATACCAAGAAAATGTAGATGTATACATACGCTGGTACTGCAATTCACACATTCCCAGTAGGACAAAGCAAATATTGCTGGGTTCTCAAAGTCGTTTGTCAATCGAATAAAAATTAGATTAGGTACTTTATGGTCAGTACCTCTTAAGACGAGTCGGATAGGAAAATGTGGCAAGAATAGGATCACAACACATCGTAATGATCGATGAATAAGAAATACTTGCCTTGAAATTCGTAAAAAAGCGTTGTCCTGTTGACTATCGTGATAAACAGTGAGGGCGTAAAGATTTTCGAAAGGACAATGCGGAATCGGTTGGTCGAAGAGAAACTGATGGGATGCCGACCTACCAAAAAACAGCAACGAAATATGACTGTTGCTGACTGGAATATTCGAATATACGAATACGAATTTCTACTAGTTATTGTATTATTTTACAGGTGTACTTTTCCGACGCATAAACATTTGAAATTTTGGTCGGCGCCCTGGTGAAAAATTCCAAACTAATTGCCTTGTAGAGAGCATTAAAACCCCGGCTATGGTGTGATCTGTCACCTCAGCCATAGGTACTGCCGCAGATAAACGAGTGGTTCCCTAATGATGAAGAAAGTCGTCACCGTGCCGCAAAGCCAGAAGTGTCACCGCATGTTTGGCAGAAAAGCATGTCGCTGTTTGCCTTGGACAGAGAATTCACCTTACATCAACCGCGTAGAAAACATGTGCGAGCTCACCCACTAGTGATAACCACCAAGCAGCAGTTGATTGAAACACTTATCACAATTCTAATCACCAAGAAGATGCAAAAACCTATATTGGCAGCGTGCCCCTAAACGTAGAAGCTCTTATTGTAGCAAATATTAAAATATAATCTACTAATATTAGTTATACGAAAATAAGTCCACTTGGTTTAAATTTTTGTATAACTTTTTGCAGTTTTTGTTATCCCAATACAATGTAGATACAATTAAAAAATATATAAGAGACCTGTAACTAATTATTGTATTTGTAGCAGAAATACCTTTGAACACGAAACTTCAAGGATATCCTTGCTGTCCCTAATAAATTGTCTACCCACTATATATTTCAAAGCTTCCTCCTCCGTCAGAAGGAGTTTAAAGGATCCCATATACCGATGAATGCTCGCTTGTTGATTTATGTTCGAAAGTGAACTGCTATCTTGACAACCTTTCCTACTAGAAGACAATTACAGCTACAACCTGAGAAGTATTCGGCTACCCTCTTTACCTACTGGATAAAAGAGTACCGGCGCGAACTCGATGTGGAGGTCGATAGAGTGAAATTCTCGAAAATTTCGACTGGGAGACACTTTCGCTGAGCCGTAACAAAATCTCCAAAGCTTTAGTCAGCAGCAAGTGGGGAAAAGACAGAGAGCGTACAAGCCGGCTGGTTGTAAACTATGCTGCTGCGATTTAGATACCGGGCACTAGCAAAAACAGAGATAAAGAAGCTGCAAGCCGGCCGAATAAATACTGCAGGGCTCTTCCTAGAACTTGAACCACACTCTAGCCACACCAGGAAGAGCAGGACAAGTATTCAGCATCACATAAAGCAACCGCTTAAAACTCCATTCACCGAGAATGCGTTGACACCTTCTTGAACTCTCCGTTACCGGCGTTCTCAGAGTGAAACCATCCCTCATTGCGAACGAAGCCTATTATTGGGCCTTCCGATAGATAATCTCGGTGA